TATATATATATATATATATTCTAAAGTCTTATCTTTGGAGGTATGGCCAATCAAATGAGGACAAATTACAAAGACTCAATTCAACTACGGGAAGCTTCCACGGACTAGCTTACACCGACTATTAATACCTTTCATTTTATTTTATTTTATGTTGTTATCGTCTTCAGCAAAGATATAGTCGTTTTCATCAATACACATGGTCTTTTTTAAATATTAAAAATGTAATAAAATAAATGCGGAGAAATTTTAAGAAAAATGATTTTTTTCACAATTTATTTATTTTTTTAAATCGAACCATGGATGTGAGAAAACACTTTGTTCTCCCGCACCACCACTTTTGGACAATATTTTATAATTTAATATAATTTAAAATCTTATGTAAAAGCAATAAATATTTTTGTAATAATTTTTAGTTATATATAATTTTTTGGTACTTAGTATTTATATCATCTAAGAAGTTCATCAAATTTTAAGACTATAAATATCACAATTCACCTTTGAATAGCAAAAAAAAAAAATAATAGAGAATTGAATATACGGTCATTAGACATTTATACGTTAACACGTGACATGAAAAACATATATTTTAAAATATGCATGTTCCTCAAATTGTGTTTTGAGTTTTTCTGTGGTTTTGTCCGTACAAGAGAATTGAATATACGGTCATTAGACATTTATACGCTCGTATTAACGTAAACTGTATATATCTATGTATGCTGTAATTGCGATATATATATGTATATATATAGTGAAGAATCGAACGTTGATTTGGACCGAGTCGGAAATTATGGTCAAGTTGGAAATCAATTTTATATCGTTATAACAATTTCCAATAAATTGATATTTGTTTGGACAACGCGTACGTATATATAAACCCATTGACCAGCTTTTGAGATTCTTTCCGATTACCACTTTGTTTTATGGAGATGACATGATCTTGGAAAATATTATATTGATCGTTCTAAACTTTCTCCGAATAATTTTTCAAACGTAGCTCAAAAATATGATATTATTTTTAAACTTTCTTGTATTTACCTAGATGTGAATGACTTAGTGGTAATAAAATATGTAAAGTATATTTTTATCTCGGGTTCAAATCTAAGCGTGAGGACAGGTATTCACCAATAATTCTTCCATTTTTTGGGAGATATAATTGGGCCAAAAAGGTGGTGAACTTTCTAATTATAAAGAATCTTTTTTTTTGTATTTGATGATATCATATAATGCTATGAATTCGAACCATTTAATCTTGTCTTCGATCCGCCCATTTAAACGTTTGACGGTTTCGTGGCCTGTATATATTATTATGATTATTAATTTTATTTTATACATTCATTTTTGTTGGAAATAATTTTATTTAAATGTACTTCTATTCCAAAATGAATCTCATTTTTCATCTAATTATTTTATATTTTATTTTTAAATCGAATTACATTTGATTTAATATAATTTAATTTTAAAAAGATATATAATTAATTTTGAATTCAAATTTTATTTAAATATAAACTGTATATTATAAAATTCAATTGGATACTTAAATCATAATGGATTTGAATGTTTCTAAGATGGAATAAATAAATAATTAAACAAATAAGTATGCAGTTGAAAAGGAAAACACGCCGAGAATTCTTGACTGTCAAGTCGTATCTTTTGATAAACATAACAAGAAAATTAATTAGTTAATTAATATTTTGTACAATTATTTATTGGTACTCAATTTTCCAGAGAAACAAATCTGAAGAATTCAAAGGCTTGACCAAAGATACACGTTGTTAAACATTTTTCTGTACATGAAAGTAAAATCAATTATAAAATAATTCTTCATTTTCGTTTCGCTAAACCAAACTAAACCACAAAATCAAACCCAAATAATGTACGATTCTAATTCAATTCAATAAAAAAAATTAACCACAAAATCCATAACCCAAAATAACAATATTTATGTGGGAGTTAGTCAAATGTCTAAATTCAGTCGATGTTGTTTAGGGAAATCAAATGGCCGAGTAGTGTAATTGGTTGAGAAGGATACGGGTATCGTTGTACCATGTCCCATACCATCAATAGTATGGTATAATGCACAACTAAAATATTCATATATATATATATATATATTATTGTATAATATGTAACTATATTATTTATATTGTTCTAAAGTTTTGTTACTCAAAAGAAGACAAATTTTAAGTAGCAGAATATATAGATATTTAGGTTAACTGTAAATTATAATATAATTATGTAATGTTTGATATAAAGGATTATTAGATTAATTTGGTTAATTAAATCTATGAATAATCAAACTCAAAAATTCTAAATTCATTGGATCAGCCTGCCCATAATATTATCCAATTCAAATAAGTTGGATTAAATTGGATTAGATTAATAAAATGACATCTCCAACAATATCATTCCAGGGAAATAACACCTTTCCTTTATTTTATATGAAACTCATAATTTTTTTTTTGTTTCTCATAAAATTTTCATTTTGAAATTTTTGTAAAACTACATTGATTCTGTTTTCATATTAAATCTTGGTTCGGTTTGCCTTCTATTCCAAACCGATTTGATTGGATTTTTATTAAAATTCATTTTCTAAACTTTTTTTTATTAATTATTTTGATATTTGATTAATTTGATTTAAAAATTATATATAATTTATTTTCAAGTTTAATCTGAAACAATCAGTTCACTCATCCTGGGCCTCCATCATGGACTTTGATTTTCCCCTTTGCGCATCTGCACTTTGAGCCTTGAGCCTGCCAATGTCATCGGTTTATATATATATATGTATGTAAATATAAATTACCCGTTTTAAAAATTATTGCCTCTTTCAATAAGCCATTAATCTTATTTTCATCATAGAAATACTGCCGGTTTCTTTACCCTAATTCGCTAATTTTTGGGTAAGATTCATAATTTCTGTTCCATATCTTTAAAGCAATTTCTTAAATTTTATTTTTTACTCCTTTCATTTCAAAATATTTGTTTCACATTTTTTTAAAAAATAGATCAAAAGTCATATATACCCTTATTTGATGATAAAAACAATGCAATCATTAATAATGTATTAGAATTTAGTAGGGATAAAATTGGAAACTATTATAAAAAAATGTCTTAAAAATGTAAAACTATAAAATATTTTGAAACATATAAAATAACCTAAAACTACAAATATTTTGAAACGGAGAGTAACGTGTAATAGTCGGTAGTTCTTTTGCTTCTTGAGTTTATAGGTCTATGTTATTTCCATTTTCAGAAAAATTCTACAGTTTTATATAATTTGAATTCTTATTGATAGAATTTTTTAACAAACATGCTTCTCCATTACTATTTTTTGTTATCAAGTATAAAATTAAATTAAATCGGATAATATATAATTATATAAAAATTAAATATGATATGATAGTAATTGTTTTATATTACTTTTAAATTAAACTAAGAAAATTAAAATAAATCCAAACCTATATAATTTCAAAACAAAAAATAAAAATGATCAAACAAAATATCAACTCCTGATTAGAATGCATCTTTTGTAGTTGAGAGGGTGAGTTACTTAGATCATGGAACCCACACATATCCATTTAATTCTTTAGCTTTCTTTTATACCTTTTTTTTGTATTTTATCTTTTTGTCTCACATATTCATTCAATTCCAGTCTCACTTTTACATGACATGAAATACATTAAAAATAAATATAAAAAATAAAAATGACAGATGGGCATAAAAAGGTTTCCAATAGATACTTTAATTTTTTTTTCATGTTTCTACTTTTTTATTAGATGGCATGTAGTTATTATAACTTCAAAAAGTGGTTTAAAAATGAATGAAATCAAGGACTAATTAGATTGACTTGAGACATGATTATTAGTTTCCCCTAAAAGTTTCTAGGCAATTAAAAATATAATTTGATTTGATGGTTGGGAAAGATATAATAATATTCTCAAATAAAACCATATAAAATAATATTTTTAGTTTATATCCGAATGCAAATAACAATGAACCGGACTGAATTTATATTTTATTCAGGTTTGATTTGTACATTTTTCGTTTGTTTAATTTGGTTTGAAATACAAATTCTTATATTTAAATTGTTATATATATATATATATATATATATATATAATCCAGTCAAGTCTGTTACTTTTTTTCATATAAAAAATAGAATTATCTGGTTTGTTTTGGTTATAATTTGGAACATTGGGAAATTTGGGATAAAATTGGATGGCCCGACCAACTAGGATGATAGAACATTATTAAATGGAGTCCATGTTGGGGGGGTTTTCCGAAATTTTAGGAGTAAAAGGAGGATATTTTAGACAATTCATACGGTTGCCGGGCACAACCCTCGTGATTGTAACAAAGGTCCTCAGATAGGGGCGGGCCCCCTGCCATCCTCACATTTTTTGTCTCTTTTTTCTTACCATTATTAAAAATTAAATTAACATCAAATGGAACATAAAATAGTTAAAATTATTAAATTACAAAGTTGTCAAAAAGTATAAAAAATAAAAAAAATAATTGAAGCTTATCATGCTTACTGTTATTATATTATCCTACTCGTTGATTTTTTTTTTTTACAAAATATAATTGTATAAAAATGTTGGTTTTATTGACCGAAATTTTTTATATTTTTTGTTTAAACAGCTGAATCTTGTTGAAAATTAATTCAAAACCCCATCTTGTTGAAAAGTTGTTTTTTTTATATATGTTTATTCTCAATTGCTGGATTATTTTAGATTGTAAAATTGGGTTATTATGATAAAATTAATTTATATGTTTAAAGTTTTTTTATGTTAGTAGAAAATGAAATAGTTATAGATGTGAATTTTTATTTATATGTCTAATGGTCAAATCTATATTCCTTTTAGATCCACAGTAATTGAGTAAATATTGTACAGCCGACCATCTAAATAGGTAAAAAGGACAATTTGACCACCCATCGCTCGTGATTGAACGGTATTAAGTGTCGAATGTAATATAACTTTACAGGAAAAATTGGTAGTTGAATTTTTAATGAAAAAATATGGATAGATTAGCAAATATATATATATATATATATTGTTTATCAAATTAAATATTTGAAAATTTAGAAAACCGATTTATGTAAAACTAGTCGGTTGGGTTCAATTTGATCCAAATTACACAAATAAAAATAAAATTGTTCCCTAAAACAATACAGTACAAAACATAAATGTTTTGATTCAAAATACAATAATGATGAATAAATTAAATATAGACAAATATAAAATTATAATTAATAATTCAAATAAAAATAAATATCATTTTAAATTACATTTATAATTTATATGTTTGTAAAATCGAAGATCGGTTGGTTCATGAACTCGCTAGACTTGGTCTGACCCAAATCGTCTAGGTCAAACTTGTTTTTGAACCAGTTAAAAATTTTTAAACTTATTTTTAAAAAACGAATCGATGCTATATCTTTGTATAAACATAGATTTATAGCATATTAAAATTATTTCGAATTTAGAAATTTTAAATGTAATTATCTATTTGGATTATATTCAAAATTATTATTTTTATTAAAAATGTTACATTTTAAAAAAATTTAATTTAATTAATTTAAATTTAAAACACATCAAATCAAATTTTATTTAAATATAGTTATATATTATCCAATTCACTTCAATAAAAAATACAAACCTTATTTTATAAACGTTTTTTGTTATATTTAATAAACTTTATTTTAATATTTTAACTTTCTATAATCTTCTCACATAATATTTTTCCTTTCATAGCCTTAACTCCTTTTTTTTTTCTTTTTGACCAAAACACAACAATGCCATGGGTTCTCATCTTCAAATAGATCTTTAGTTCTAACTTCTTTCTATAATATTTTTGTATGGTCCATTTATTTATCTTTTTGACCGTAGAAAATAATATAAAATGCACTTATAAATAGTAATAATTTGGCTAACACAATTCGATGTTTCTCTCTCTAAAAAAGCCACCATTAATTGCACTAAATCTGCTGTCTTCTAATCTCCTCCTTCCACTTTCTCTCTCTAGGAAACTTTTGTCCTTTTCCTCTCACTCTCCCCACGGCAACTTAACTTGCTCATGGAGGAGGAAGAAGAAGAAACTTCAGCTAATGCTTCTTCGTCTTCTTCCTCTTCTTTTTCCTGTTCGTCTGCTAATGTTGCCTGAACGCTGTCAATTGGGAGCTTCTCCTCACTTACTGAAGCCTCCATTTCTCTTATCCTTCTCTTTCTCCTTCTGATCTCTCTCTCTCTCTCTCTCTCTCTCTCTCTCTCTCTCTTTCTCTCTGTGTCTCTGACGCTCTCACTCTGTTTCTTAGTTAATCTTATTAGGTCAGTATCTCTCTCTTTATGCGTCTGAGATTTCTGGGTTTGGTTTGTTTTTATCCTTGGAAATCGAAATTTGTGATTTCTCTCTCGTTTTATTGCATTCGAGTATTGTAATTGTAAGTTGCATTTTAGGGTTTGTGTGTTTTGTTTGTTCTCTCTCTGGAATTTGCGGGTTCTGTTTGCCAGGGTTAATGGCTGGTCAAGTTGTAGCTGGGAATTAGAACCCAGTTTAGCTTTCTTCTTTCTTACTGTTTGTGCATTATAGTTGTCGGAGATTCATGTGTTTTCTCTCTATTTGGACAAAGGAGTTCAACTAATGCTGTTTTCTTTGATTGTTTTTGCTACTACTTACCATCTCTGTTCAGATCTGTCATAAAAATCAGATTCAGAGAATCCCAGAAGAACAGGAACAAAAGTGTTTGGATTTCTGTTTGAAAGTCATCGACTTGAACTTTTTAGCTAGATATAATTACAATGTCAAGAGGCAGGGCTCCAAACATTTTATTGCCATTGCTTTGAGACACTTATATGCCTGCTGATTCATGAAATGACACAATGTTGGGGATGATTCTTGTTGTCCGGTGCCTTGATCATTTAGTGTCAGTGCTTTGAGACACTTATATGCTGAATTCATGAAATGAGACGATGAATTATGGGGATGGTTCTTGTTGTCTATTTAGGTTGATTAAATGTTTGGATTTAAAACATTTCCTTATTGTCATGGGTAATGCAAGATGCCTTTCTGTAATGATTCCTAGATAATTTTGTGCTTGTTGACTTATAAACATGGTTCTCAGCGGCACATATGCATAAATGTGTGTATGGATATGTGCGTGGACATGTGCATATGTAATCCAGATTAAAAGCTTTTCTGAAATTGAGAATGTTTTTCGACTCTTTGCTCTCGAGTTGTTTTCATTTCTTGCGTGATTATATGCTAAAAGTCAAATCTAATGGTTATTTGCTGTTCTTTCAGGCGTTTTCTGTCAGAGATATAGTTTACCTACTCTTTGGTTTTACGTTCTTCTTGGACGTTGTTGTGTCTTGGGCAACTTTCGGTTTTTTTATCTTATCTTGTTTTCTTGTAACTGAGAAGCTAACAACGGACACATTTTATGTTTCCTTCTAGGTAGAAGTAACAAATAACCAACATACTTGAGATACTTTTAGCAATGGACCAGTACGAGATTCTCGAGCAAATAGGGAAAGGATCTTTCGGTTCAGCTCTTCTCGTGAGGCATAAGCACGAAAAGAAAAAGTGAGCTATGAAAACTTCGGTCCTTTTGGCCAATTATACCATAGATCCTGCTTACAAAAAATGTTCAACAGTTTCTGAATCATTCCTCGGTTCCATTAGGTATGTCTTGAAAAAAATACGTCTTGCCCGACAGACCGATAGGACCAGAAGATCTGCACATCAGGAGGTTGGCACACTACCACTCAAAACTCGATCCATTTTGCGTTGTGTTTTTCGCATGGTTTGATCTTACGTTCCTGGGTTTCTGTAGATGGAGCTCATCTCGAAAATGCGTAATCCATTTATCGTCGAGTACAAAGACTCGTGGGTAGAAAAGGTAAGAAGAGCATGCCTTTAGATTTAACAAAACTTTTGTATCATTTCACACCTTGTGAATTGAAAAATCTCTTATTCTTTTGTTTGGTAGGGCTGCTATGTGTGTATTGTCATAGGTTATTGTGAAGGAGGAGACATGTAATCTCCCTGTCCCCTTTTATTTTCGTTGTTTTGATCCTTTCTCATATAACCATCCTTGTGGCTTCTTAATACAAGTCGAAGGGTTTCACATTCTTCTTACGCTACAGGGCGGAAGCGATCAAGAAAGCTAATGCTGTGCATTTTCCCGAAGAGGTGTGTTAATGTGATTTTGGGGAGGTTTCTGTTTATGCAATCATAAATCTTGAATCGGTGTTTTCTCTTTTTCTCAGAAACTATGCAAGTGGCTTGTTCAGCTTCTAATGGCCCTCGAGTACTTGCATGCTAACCATATTCTTCATCGTGATGTCAAGGTACCAATAACAGGTTCTCGTCTCTAAAATCCGAACCCGGAGAGCTCAGATTTTTTCGATCTGCTATTATAATTTTCTATGTTTATGCAGTGTTCTAACATATTCTTGACCAAGGAGCACCATATACGCCTTGGTAAGCATATCTTTCGAGCCTTCTTTCACTGATACATTTCCAGAAAAAAAAAACTCATAATAATTTAAATAATCCGTGATTGATTCCTCGGCAGGTGATTTCGGCCTTGCAAAGATTCTAACATCCGATGATCTTACTTCCTCCGTGAGTTACACAGCTTTTCTATATACGTATTTGCCGTTTACTTTTCTTGTGTTACTTCTGAGAATGTCTTTCGGATGAATTTTAGGTTGTCGGGACTCCCAGCTATATGTGCCCGGAGCTTTTGGCCGATATTCCTTACGGTTCTAAATCCGATATCTGGTCTTTAGGTACGTTGTTTCTGAAATCTTGGAAGAGATTATTTACTTTCATTATCTAGTAGCCACCTGGTCTTGAATTCTCTATTACAGGATGCTGTATGTATGAGATGACTTCTCTTAAGCCGGCATTTAAAGCATTTGTAAGTTACCATGTGAAATCTTAAAAAACCGACCTTAAAATCATTTCTAATCTATTCTTAATACCATTTACGATGATTAGGACATGCAAGCACTCATAAACAAGATAAACAAGTCTATTGTGGCTCCGCTTCCGACAAAATATTCCGGTCCATTGTGAGTCTATCTATTCATTCTCGAGTTTGTATTTTAGATATCTCGAATTTCTTTACATTTGCAATGTTTTTCTGATGCCCTTTTGCGTACCGTACCTTGTTTTCAGCCGAGGTCTTGTCAAAAGCATGTTGAGAAAAAACCCGGAACTCAGGCCATCTGTACGTTAAACCTTACCGAGCTGAAACCTCAAACTGAGGCTTGTAGCTGTAGTTTTTGTTACTCGTGTATGTTAAGTGTTAACTATGCAATGTATGTGTTTTTTGTTGCAGGCTTCAGATCTGATTAGACATCCACATCTTCAGCCTTATGTTCTCGATGTCAATCTCAGACTCAATAACCCGAGACGCAGTACATTGCCTTCACAATGGCCGGGATCCAAGAAGATTGTGAAGAAAACTCGGTTTTCTGAACCCACTGTCAGTTGTCCACCCTTTACAGACAGACGACGCTATTCTGTCAGGAATGATAGAGCTTTGAATCCCGAGGCTGAGGAAGACTCTGTATCTTCCATCAAATATATGAGCCGAAAAATTTCGGGTTTATCTGTCGAAAGCAGCAATGATGGAGAGGTCATATGTAAGCCTGTTACTTCGAGTGTTTCCAAGACCTCGAAATATACTCTGAAAAAGGCATCGACCGCATCCAGGAGATTGATGAAGCCAGGAAGGAATAGCCACTCGGTATTGAAATCTTACCCTTTTCTTTTTCGTGTCACTTAAGGTATCGTAGTCGCTATCGATACCATATGAACAATGTAACCATGTGAACTTGGAATTGGAATCGTTTATTGGAACATTAGGGTCCGCAATTCGATTTCTTTTGTGTGTATCACGGGTTTTGTTTTTTGCGTTCCAAAGAGCTTAATCTGGTATTGCCCTCGTTCGTCAGGGCAAAGAGCTTAATCTGACATTGATTTTCTTTTACGTTTCAGCATCCGGTTTCAGGTGTTACCCCGAAGAAGATAGCACCTTCAGCTCGTCGGGCTTCTCTACCGCTCCCGAGAAAGGCTACAACCCAAGAAACTGCGGCCTATAACCCTACAGTTGGTATCTTACAAAACGTGAAGTCTCCTGAAGTTTCCATTAATGAGCCACGAGTTGACAAGATAGCTGTTTTCCCGTTAGCCTCGTACGAACAAGACATCTTCTTCTTTCCGATGCACGGGAAAACATCATCCAAGGGCTCAACTGGCTCGCCCCGGGAAAACATAGTGAAGGACCGCTCCATAACGAAAGACAAATGTATGGTTCAGACAAGCAAGCCCGGGTTCACAGAGACAACATGGCAGGGAATCCAACTGAACTTGTCATTTTCTGATCACAATGCAACCCTCGGTGGCTCGAGCCGGGCTACTACTGCTACTATGTCCTCGGATACGAGAAGACGAAGGTTTGACCCTTCATCGTATAGGCAACGGGCTGAAGCATTGGAGGGTCTGCTCGAATTCAGCGCGAGATTGTTAGTTGAGGAGAGATACGACGAACTCAACGTTTTGCTAAAGCCTTTTGGTCCTGGTAAGGTTTCTCCCCGAGAAACAGCGATTTGGATCGCCAAAAGCTTGAAGGAGAATGCCAATGCCAAACACGAGAGCGACTGATCTTCGATCTCGCCCAAGAAATCATCTTTCGGTTCGTTTCTAACCGATCTTTGTTGGAAAATAGTCGTAGTCAGAACTCAAGTAGTTATATGTCTGAATTTTTATGCTCAGTGGCTCGGTCTGGAGAAGAAACATTAGGAACTGATCTCGGTAGAATTTGGTTTAGCTCGGTTTGGTTCGGTTATGCCCCGGTCGAGTTGGTTTGGATTTATGCCCGACTTGCTTCAAGGGTTTTAGTAGAGGAGGAATACTAAAGTTGTATTGTTGGGATAATCTTACCTGTAGCTTTCCACTGGTTTTACCGGTTTAGTTCCGTTATGTTTTTTTATCTTCCAGATTTCCATTTTTTTTTTCTATTTTTGTTTGATATGAATATCTTAAAGTTTACCTGAACTTCAGTAAAAACAAAATTGGGATCAAATTAAAAACGTTATTTTTTTTTTGCGTATGAATTATCAAGTTTAACAGCAAATTCACAAATTATCAAATCTAACAAATAAATTAAATTTATAGCTATAATAAAACCTCTACCAACTACTTAAAAGAATAGCTTATTGATATTTAAAAATAACTATTTTTTTAGAAAATGACTTTAAAATACTCAACTTTACAACCAAAAAATCATATATAATATTGAGCTTTAAATTCACAGAAAATAATGAATTTGCAACAAATTGTTTTTGAAGACAAGTATATTCAGAAATACAATAATTGTGATAGACGCTATGCAATGCTGAAATAATGTACATATATGTGTATATATATATACATATACATTGTGATTTGTGACGATTTTTTTTATAAATTATGTAATATATATAATTGTCGTGGCCCATAAATACATAATGGGCTAAGCCCATCTTCGGTCAGATTAGTTTGATGAATGATATTTAAGAAAATTTCTAGAGCCAACCAACAAAACCCTAAGATTAAGACGCGGATAGCTCTTTGTATACGAACAAGCTCAAACTTTTAGGGTTTCTCCTCCGCAGCTGCAACAATGGCGGTCGGGTAACTTTGTCGTCCTCTCTCTCTCTCTCTCTCTCTCTCTCTCTCTCTCTCTCTGTGATAAACTCAGCCCCTTCTCTATACTGCTCTACTTGTCTTTCTGTTTACTCTCTTTTGTTTTGTGTTGATTTGTGGTTCTTCGTGTTGTTCGCAGGAAGAACAAAAGGATCTCCAAGGGAAGGAAAGGAGGGAAGAAGAAGATGTAAGTGGAAAATTTTCGATCTCTTTTCTCCGATACAAAAAGTTTAGTTTCTGATATATTTGTTGATTTTTTTTTCCTTTGGATGATTTGAAAGTTTACCTCTTTTACCCGTGCGGAATGTGTCCATTATGAATTTCAATCCCCAGTCAATATCGTGTTCTTGCTGATCTTGTCGGACTTTCTATGAAGAACAAATCTATGAATATGGCTTGGACCCGTTCTATGTTCATCATTTGAGGACTTGTGATTGTGAATACCTTTTTTATAAAATCTAGGAATGAAACCCCTATTATTGTATCTATTTAATTTAATACTTTTTCTCGAGTCTCAGATGTGGTGGATACAGTGCGTGAAGCGTTGTAAATTTTCTTGATTTGTTATTGTTGAACTTATTTGTTATGAATAAATTGTGAATCTGTAAATTCAATTTCTCCTGTTCTATATGTATTTCTAATCTGCGAATACCATGCTTGTTATCTGAGAGTGTACGTTTACGTATTTTGTTTAAGATGTTTGCTTAGTCTCATGTACTACATTCATCAATGTGTCTCAGAGTTGATCCTTTTTCCAAGAAGGATTGGTATGACATCAAGGCGCCGTCTGTGTTCACTGTTAGGAATGTCGGAAAGACCCTGGTCTCCAGAACACAGGGTACTAAGGTACAGTTCCTATTCCTGTTCTGTGTTCTTGTGTGTTCTGTGTCTGAATCTAAGAGAGTTAGCCGTTAATTAGTATGCAAGGTGTTTTGGACTTCCTGGGGTTAAATGCTCGAGATGGTTACAGTTGCTTAAGTTTTATTTGTTTTCTCATATTTCAGCTATCTATAGTTTGTTTCCAATATCTGTGAACTGATTACTACGAGATGATCTTGAAGTCCGCATACATTGTGTATTCTATTGTAGAACAAAAAATACATTGACGGTGTCATTGGAACAATAAATGATTTGCCTGAGGGTGACTGCACATTCCAGAAGAACGATTTTTTGTGTGTTTATGTTGGTGTCTGTTTTGACCTGTTCACTATCTTTCAGATTGCATCCGAGGGACTCAAACACCGAGTCTTTGAGGTTTCTCTGGCTGATCTTCAAGGTGATGAGGATAACGCCTACAGGAAGATCCGTCTCAGAGCCGAAGACGTCCAGGGAAGGAATGTCCTTACCAACTTCTGGGTAAATCACGACATACCCTTGAAAAGGACAGAATTTTCTTCCTTTTAACCGATGCATCAACCTAACTGGATTGTTTGCACTGCCCTGTCCTGTCTTGCCCTCACAGGGAATGGATTTCACCACTGACAAGCTGAGGTCATTGGTAAAGAAGTGGCAGACGCTTATCGAGGCCCATGTCGATGTTAAAACCACCGACAACTACACCCTCAGGTTGTTCTGCATTGCCTTCACCAAGAGACGGGCAAACCAGGTCAAGAGGACTTGCTATGCTCAATCCAGCCAGATCCGTCAGGTTAGTATCATCTTATGTTGTCAGGTCTCTTTCCATACAACGGGCAATGATCCAAATCGATATTTCCTTTTTTTCCTGTGCAATGTATCATCTAGATCCGTAGAAAGATGAGGGAAATCATGGTTAAGGAGGCTTCATCATGTGATCTGAAAGATCTTGTCGCAAAGTTCATCCCTGAGGCCATTGGTAGGGAGATCGAGAAGGCTACACAGAGCATCTATCCTCTCCAGAACGTTTTCATTAGGAAAGTCAAGATCTTGAAGGCACCCAAATTCGATCTGGGCAAATTGATGGAGGTAAACCGAAAATCGTTGTATAATTTCCAAACTCGAATACAATCGATCATCCATGATTCACGAATGAAATCATCAAAATGTGGGTGTAGGTGCATGGAGATTACTCGGAGGACGTCGGAGTGAAGGTCGAGAGGCCGGCAGATGAACCGATGGCGGAGGAGCCGACTGAGGTCATTGGAGCTTGAAGGTTGGCTTCCATCGTTTTCTGATGACTGTTATTTCCTTCATGTTTTGGGATTATTTATCTTGTGTTTTGAGATTTTGTCTTCAACTATACTTCTGTCTTAATTTTGGGTTCGGAACCCTAAGAACATTAAGTCCTTGCTTTTTGCTCTCACAACACCAACAAATCGATCTCGCTAGATTGATTGGTTAGATTATAAAAATTGAAATGAACCGAATACTTGGAATTTTGATTTATAAAATTGGTTATGTATGATTTTTCAAAGCTAATTATTTGGATTGAGCGAGTTTTTTAATTAATTCTTCAATAAAAACAATGGTTAAATATTGAATATATATTGGTTTTTTTTATTGAATGCGATTGTAATGAATCTCCTAAAGATTACCATGCAATTTTGCAAAAATCCGTTTTTAACGACGTATCGTTTGTAATGTTCCAAGAACGTTACGGAATATTAAAATTGTCTGCACTAACCAATACGAGCACCGCTGGATTCAATCAAACATGCCATCACGATCTATAAGAGAATTTTTACAGTTTTATAAGAATTCGTGTGTTTATTTAAAATTCAGAGAGTTCATGTATTTATATAATATATTTGTACAAATTGATGATATTATATGTGAGCGGGTTCTCTTCTTGTTTTTCAGTAAAAAAAAAAAGAACCCAAAATTTATAAAACCCACACAATTATCATTTCCAGTCTTGCTACTCATGAAAAAGAACATAGAACAATTACATCAATCCAAGTTTAAATCAAAATGCTTGTATTTTGCAAGATATAATATTTATTTCCGTTAGTAGAATATTTCTTATGGCATACATATTTATAAACTTTGAGAGTTTTGTTTTGGTAAAATGTGAAGTCATATTATATATATATGAACAAGTGTTTCTTAAAACCAAATTAATATTTTAGTTTCTTTAGAGAATGTTTATTTTTAATTTTAATTTTTTTTGGTGGGAAAAGTGTAAGAGAAAAACTAATAAGTTTGACATTTTGGGTAATTGCACTTGCAAACATTTTCATGAATATCAAAATAATGCAAAAAACTTTAGACATTTCGTATCTTTTTATGGCCATTATTATTATTTATATTCCGAAAATGGACAAAATACATTGGTGAGTTCGTCACACAGCCTTGAATTGGTCCCCGCCCCCTTCTTTCGCGCAAGTTTTTCAGGGAAATGAATGAGCCACACAACGGCAACAGGGCCCTGTTTTGGCAAATGTAAAAAAGTAAATCGAAACATATACAAACATATATCTATTTTTTTTAAATCAATAAAAATAAAATTGTAAAACATATACACGAATGATACTATAATTTAAAAAAAAAACATATCAATTTCTAGTTTTCTTTGTTCTAATTATTATGACTGTTGAAATCGTTAAATGCTAACGGATTATGACGACAGAATGTTGATAAAATAAAATCAGCACCGTGTTACTGGATTTTGCCACGTCCTCAATTAAATAAATTTAAAACATATATATATATATATACACATACATACATACATACATACATACATACATATATTGTCGGAAAAACTAGGGTTTGGGTTCGATCAGGGTTTCACAATGTAAAGTTTGTGATTATTAGGGTTCACGTAGTGGAATAAGAATTGAAAAACATAAATTTCTAACCCAAAAGGCTTATTTGATATGGTTATGGGCCAATATCCGATTTAGGCCTATAAGACACAATTGATCTCTTATAACACATTACGAGCTATTCATAAATAGAATTATTGATTTATCATTAATTAACCAGTAGTAATTTCTATTATAATCTTTTTTTTATTATCATGATATCTATACTGAATATATGGTATGAAAATAATCACCCTAATCGAATTCAATTGATGATTCGTTCATTAAGTGGAACGACTTGAGAGATGATACTAATCTCTATTGATTCATCCATAATATATTCACACATTTTAGTTTAGATAATTCCAAGGGTCAAAGATATTTCTCTCATAAATGATAAATTAGATCTCGTTTATTTATTATCCATTATACAATTCATAACGTGTTCGAATACAATCTTGACGATCGTAGCATATTATTTCTTATTAAAGAGATTACAATACGAAGGATATTTATTATAGCTAGTGATATCATATCTAAAGATTATAGCAAATAATTATATGAGATTCATTATAACTCGTACGCATTCACGTAATAATGATGTGTCAAGTCTTTTATTCCAAATAAGAACGCTTGAATACAATTCATATCCAATATACGTATGATTATCAACCACCCATTGTACTACCTTAATTTATCATTATAAATGAACAGAAAATTCAAAAGTATTAAAAATAATAATTAATGCATATTATTAAACACAATAGACATATAAATTGAATAATAATGAAGAACTTTGTCAAGTCTTTTATTTCGTAAAAGAAGCATTCTTATTTAGCATTCCAATCTGAAGTAAGTTGAGATGACTGTATTATATTATATAGTTCAAATACAGTCCTAAACGCTTGCATTTATTTTAATAAATAAATCAATCAATCAAATAGTACCTAAATATGAAAATAATTGAAAATTTAAATATAAGTAAAAAATATTTTTTAATAAAGTGATATTATAATAAAATCTAAATTAAATGGAAATTCGATAAAAATTAAATAATTAAAATTGTTTTTAAAAGTAACCCAACTCGAAATGCGTAATGAATTTTTTATATACGATTTATCCGATATTGTACAATACTAAATGATTTTATAAATATAGCTTAGCTTTGCTAGACTTTTTGCTCTCATAATTGCCTTTGAATAAATTTATTATCTCCTTTAAAATTTTGGATTATATGAGAAACTTTTGCATAATTTTTAAAATTAAAATTATTCTCTAGTACTTTTTAAAGTTTGTGATTAAATAAGGGAATACCACTCCGATTGTCAAAATTCTTTTTGATTTTATTAATAAAAAACATCCTTTCATGAATCATATCTCCCTTTTTTTTTAATTAAAAAATTAAGGCACTTACAAGTAAAAAAACCCTTACCCATAACCCTAAAGCCACCCAATATATATTCTTTTGATTAATAATTCGAAAGAAAAGGGAATTAACTTTTCATTTTTCCAACTTTCCCTCTCCCAATATTCAACTCTTTACCTATTTTTTTTAGTTTCAAATTAATTTTTTCATAATTGTGATATGTAAATATTTTTCTCCCCAAAATATGTAATCTTAAAATATGCTAATGACTATATATATATATATCATAAAATAATATTTTCTAATATATTTTATATTAATTATTATATATGGTATAGTAGATATTATGGTTAAAATATATAAAATCAAAATAAATAATATATCATTTATACGAAAAATATGTAAGTTAAAAATCAATTATATATATTGAGATTTAATAAATGCATTTGAATTAAATATAATAATTATATATATAAATTTATTTAAAATAATTTTTTTTAAGAAGAATTGAAGTTAAACGAATAAAAAATCAATATACATAATATATGATATGTTTCGGTTTCTATGCCGTTGATGGATCTTACCGTCATTTAGAATTTTTTTTCTTTAACCGGTAAAGATTTTGTCACTCTATATTATTTTTCTCATATCTTATAATAAGTTTAGAAAAATAATTTTTAAATTTTTTACTTGATAAATTTATTGTTAAACTTGTAAAATATATCATTATAATTCTCAAACTTGTTAATTGATTACATAATAAATTTTAACGACGTTGATCTATAAATTAATTAGAAATAAATTTGTCAAATAAAAAGTTTAAAAAATAGTTTTACACCTTTTGTAAGTTAGAAATTTTTTTTTATGTGTTTTACCCTATTCAATATTAAAAATTTAAAATTATTAGAATGAAATTAAATTTTTAGATAAAATAGTATTATATTGGGCTTATATATATTTGATTTTTTTCGAATTAAATTTTTTATATATTCGAAAAATTTCATGGAAATTTTTATTAAAAAAAAGTACTTGACATACACAATTAAACTCGAACATATTAAACTATAAAAAATTTAGATAAATAAATAAAAGGCATTGGAACCCACAATTAACACTATGCGGGTTATCGGGTTCTGGATATGACACCCATTTCCCCAACAATTCCCAAACCCCTCCCTTGATTTTCCCGTAAACTACCATTTTGCCACTCCCTTATCTTTTTCCTTTTCCCATTTATTAATTATTTATACCCCACCAAAAATTCTCCGTCGGAAACATACATTCCTTCCCACCATCTTCTTCTTCTTCCTCATAATAATAATAATAATAATTATTATTATTATTATTATTATTTTTGTATTAATTATTCTTTTCTACTTAAACACACCATTGAGAACCGACTCATAAAGATGGTGAACTCCTACTCTTTTTCCTCTCCTCATTCCGTCTCTTAATTTCTGCAGATTCAGAGAAAAGAGAGAAACAGATCCAATGTTTGTCTGAGTTTTTCTTTGAGGGTTTTGTTGGAATCACTCATTCAAGACGGACCCATGAACTGGTTGTTGTCCTTTTTGCTTCAATGGATTCAAAATCTCGTCTTTCGTGTGAATTTCTTCAGTTTTGAGTTTTGTTCCGACGATTCTTAGGATCTGGGAGAGTAAAAAGATTTGAAAGAACTTACCATTTATAAGTTTCTGCCATTTTACTCCCCTGTTTCCCCGTTTTAAAAACCCAACCTTTCCTCGAGTTTCTAGGGTTTCAGTTCGAAAGCTCCAATCTTTACTTCTACAGAACACGACTCCAATCCCTCGTTCAATCTCTAGGTTTATTGAAACCAACAGCAAATTTCCTCATTTAGTTCCCATGTCGGGCAATCATCATCAACAAGACGGGATGGGAGACGATTTCTTTGAACAGATACTGGCCGTACCACCTGGCTACGGCGGCGGCGGCGGAGGAGAAATCGGCGGTACCTCCTCCTCTTCCTCCATGCCCATGATGCTTCAGCTCGGGTCCGCCGGCGGAGGAGTCGACGGTGGCGGTGGATTCAGGGGACTGAGTATGGGGTCCATGATGGGCCTTGGATTAAACTTGGAACATCATGGGTTTCTCAGGCCTGCTGATAACAGTAACGACACTGACAATGCTGCTCCTACAGTCGCTTCAATCAATGTAAGTTAACAAGATGTATATAGATTTGTTTATTCTCACACATGTTTAATAATCAATTTAAAAACTTTGCTCGAAATCTGAAATGGGTTTTTCGTTTCTCGTTTAGAATCATCAGGTTTTGAATAAAGATCCCTCATTTTTTTGGCACATTCTCCTTCTTCCTCCGCCGATGGCATATTCGTAATATGCTCAGAAACGGGAGGGTAATTGGGTCACTTTCATGTGCTTTTTCAGGGGAGAGAGTCTCTGCATATGGCGGGGCTTTTTCCGGCGTTCGGACAGCTACAAGCTCCGACGGTCCGGCCGACGGGTCCGTCGCATCTGCCACCGGGTCCGCCGCAGCTCCACCAGGTACGTATAACTTTATGGACATTTATGCCCTTTGCGATAGTCTTAGTGCCCAAGGGCCTTACTTTTTGGATGAAAAAAAAATAATAATCACATCTCACAGCTTTTTCATGTGGAAATTTACCTTTTTGTCCTCCTTTTTCCCTATATGTATTATAAATTTGGCCCCTTTTTGTATCGACTATGAATTCCACTATTATTGAGTGGTACTTTAGATATATTTGGATGGATAATTATAGGGTCAAACTATACTCTTTTTCATACATATATATATATATATGTATGTGACGTGTTTGCTGAAAATTAGATGCAACGTTTTCACGGCCAACCTCCGCCGGGAACCGTCCCACCGGCGCTGAATCCACCGACGATTCGTCCACGTGTACGGGCGAGACGTGGGCAAGCTACTGATCCTCACAGCATAGCTGAAAGGGTAAAGAATCCGTGGTTTCCTAATGCCCATAACGCTATTTTCTTGTTCTTGGTTTTAGGGTTATTACTCGTTGATGACGTATTTTTATTTTTATTTTTAATTCATTGAAGTTACGTAGAGAACGCATCGCAGAGAGAATGAAAGCATTGCAGGAGTTGGTTCCTACCTGTAATAAGGTCACGAGTCTTTGCATTTTGCTTCGTTTCCTGTTTCCGTGAATCGCTTTTGGGTTTCGTGATTTCGAAGCGAAGTTCAACTCTTTGTTGCATTATTTGCAGACGGATCGAGCGGCTATGCTCGACGATATCGTGGATTACGTCAAGTTTCTTCGTCTCCAAGTAAAGGTACGATCTTTCAACACCGTGGTTCACAGAGGATCGTAAAGTTTTCATCTGATAAGAATTTTGGGGGTACACTTTTTTTGGTTTGGATTTACAAAAGTTTTGGCTCTCGGGCATAAAATGCATTCTAAGATTCACTTTTGGTAACCGGGTGTCGGTTTATTTGATTCTATATTATACCGGAAAAGTCTCGGTTTTGTTTCGGCTTAATTTCGTTCATCGGTTTTCGCTCTGTGCATGATTGATTTACCTTTACTGTACTTGCATTCATGTCTGTACCGATAAGTTTGATTCGGTTTACTACTTTTCCCCATAAATCTGCGGTTTAACACGAGTTCATATCGGTGAACAGATTTGTAGAGGGTGCCACTGGTCTATGTTACAGTTGGGTTTATAGCGTTAAGAATCTGTGTTAGTCCTCATCCTATATGGATGAAGCTTCGTCGGTCCAAATTGATTCAAAGATCGTAAAAGGTTACAAAATTTGTCGATTCTTCTCCAAATGCATCATGGTAGGGCCGAGTGACCTCAGTTTTTGGTAGGGCCGCATCTCAGATGCAAAGCTCCGCACAGAATCACCACCCGCACCAAGATTCTCCTAAACCGGTCTTATCCGGTTATGTTCTAACCGGTTCAGGCGTTTTCCTTGGCAGGTCTTGAGCATGAGCAGATTGGGCGCAACAGGAGCGGTTGCTCAGCTCGTTGCCGATGTTCCATTACCGTCGGTGGAGGTATAACTTAAACTCTAAACCCCGAAACCCGAAAACCAGTTTTGTTTCGTTTCGTTTTGAACCCTTAATTCTGCGTAATAACATATAGGCCCTGTCGAGTCTATTTTGATCACACGTCGTGTTCATGATCCATGATACATACACACGCATTCATCCAAAAGCTGAAATTTTTTTGGACGCAAGTGATTATCTTTTGCCAAATCTTTTTTTTAGTGTTTCATATATCTAAAATACAATCTCTATCGTGTTTTCCGATTGCGTGTCGTTTATCGTCATCTTTCTCTTCCTTTTCTACTTTGCTTGAACGCCCCCAAAAAAAAAACTCGGTCTTTTTGGTCCTTGCTTATTTAGCCCTGAATTTGTCCATAAATTTTAATTTGAACCTCAAACTTCATGATATGGTATATATCAAGAAGTTTATTAGTGTGTGATGACCAATCATAGTTCCTTTGATGGATCCTCATAAGTTACCATTATAACACAATTAAAAAGCATAAAAATTTGATAAGTATATTTTAGCCCCAGTATTCTTGTGAGTTGCAAATAACGCCCTAAATCCTTTTCTATGACTGTCTTGCCATTCAATTCATCAACCTTCTGTATCAAATGTAGACCCAAATCTTGGTGGATATTATCAAGACCAAGAATGCAACTTAACTTCAGATTCTTAACCATATATGACTTCTATGGCCATGGTTCTTCGCGTTTTTTTATCGAGTTTTTCTATATAGTGTTTTTTTTGTTAATAATTTTCCACTCTTGCGATGTATAAGGGGGACGACGGTGGAACAAGCGAACCGGCGTGGGAGAGATGGTCGAACGATGGAACGGAAGAGCAGGTAGCGAAGTTGATGGAAGAAGACGTCGGAGCAGCGATGCAATTCCTTCAGTCGAAAGCATTATGCATAATGCCTGTATCGTTAGCCTCTGCGATTTTCAGTACGCATCCGCAACCTTCTTCTGATCAACCTCCGATGATCCCCAAACCCGAGATGAACAACCCTCCGTAGCCTCCGGAAACTAGAAAAGAAGAAGAAAGGACTTCTGGTTTAAGAATATAAACAGACGGGATATATATGTAATATTTGAAAATGTAAGGGGCCGGGACAAAAAAGAAGAGGAAAAAGGAGGCGGGGAAGTTTTTCGTTCTGGATTTTTTTTTAATGGAAATTCGAATTTATTTATGTTGAATATTTGGTGATATATATTGGTATAATAATATAATGGCATTATTTATTCGAGTTGGATTTGAACATTTTTATTGTGAGTCTTTCCTTTTCCGTAGGATGCAAATAAAATGGAATGGAAATTTAATAATATAATACAATTCTAATTGAATCTGAGTAAAATAAAATGAAAATTATTTTGAATGGGAAGAATTCGAATAGGTTTGGAATTAAATAATTTATATATAAATGAATATAGTATATAATATATATAAAAAACACTATTAAAAACTAACCTGATAGAATCGAAATCCGAAATCATCACCTTTAAATTTAGGGTCATTCCTTTTTTTTGATGATAAATCATAAAATAGGTCCATTTTTTTTTCTGAATGCGACGTTGAAATTAATGGTGGATTACCAAAGATATACGTTTTGATGTTTAAGTCTGATTTTTTTTTTCTTTCCTTTTTGTATATTTTTATGTTACATTTTCTTTTTATTATCTGATGGTGGGGTGTGGGGACATTAAATGGAAAGGTGAAGAAAATAATGATCAATACTTTGAACATTTTCATGTAAATTTGGAGGAAATTTGAAATTCCAAGGTAAATTTTTTTTATTCTATAATTCAAAGCTCTTTCTCCTTGTGGCTATAGTTCCTTATATGCCACCATGAATTAAAAATTGAGAGATTGGGCAATTTCATTTTTGGATATTTAAAGTATAATAGTGTTACTAATGATTTTATCTTTACGAAAAAAGTGAATGGTATGATACGTTATTTGTTTCTTAGGCTTTTCTCAGGTTTATATATGATATTGAATGAAAATAATTTTTCAATTAAATTATTTTTTTTATTATCAGAAAATTTATCACACTTTTAAACCAACTACATTTCCCAAAATATTAGAGAAATACAGGTAAATGAGTTTTCTTGAAGGAATTCGAACTTGGATTGGAAATGAGTTTTACCTCATTATTTACCGGTTGAGTCACCTTTTGTTTCGATTAAGTTAATTGAACGTAAAAACAACTAAAAAAAATAAAAAATAAATTCTTTTTTAAAAAACTTAATGTTTTTCTTAATAAAAACTAGGTCCATGTCCGAATCAAATGACATCCTATATAGAAACTAGATTATATAATTTTTTTAAAAATATCAAAATAAATAAATTAGAAATATCGATTTCTAATTGAGACATGATTTAATTATGATATGAACGCATTAAAATGCCAGAAAAAGTTTTAAATTTTAAGGCATTTAATCCCTCAAACTAGTTTAAATTGGTGGGTATGAACTTGTATAAATTAAATACACTTAGTTGGATAACGATAGTCTTGTATATGAAATCTGAATTTCGGCCAGCAAATATTGACAAATCTGGACCGCTTTGCTCGGGAAGCACCAATGGGCCAAATTGGCTTAAATATCTTCTCCGATGAAACATTACGTTAAAATTGTAAATTTAAAATTTATATTATAAATTCTATTAACAGTTTTATTTCATATTTTCTATTAATTCTTGACAGTCTATTATGATCGTTTAGATATCCTCTCAGACAATCCAACAGACATATTGTAATAAGTTATGATAAAAATAATCTGAATTCTTTTATTTTTTCTATTTTTGGGTTTAGGTGTTACAAGATGAATTTTTTTAAAAAAAATATTGACCCATATATGATCAAACCAATAAGTGTTGTTTTTTTTGCCACTTCTTAGTTAAGGATGTCAATCTGGCCGTTTTGGCATAAGTCCGCACTCGCCATAAGGATTTCGAGTTCGAATTCATGTTGACCCGATTTTTCGGATCTAAATAAATAAACTCGAAACCCGACTCTATAAACTTCAGATTTGGGTTCGGGTTGGGCCGACCCATTAAATTTACTCTTAGAAATTTATTATTTTTTTACTAAATTTTTTTGAAAAAAAAATCGGGTTTTCGATCCGCTACGAAGCCCGATCAAAAATTCGAAATTTTTTTAGGCTGAACCTGACTAGATTTCGGATCTCAGATTAAAATTGACACCTCTATTCTTAACTTTTTTTTGGTTATCAAATCAAACTCAAAATTGTTTTATCTTCATTCTATAACACTAAGTTTTGTTTCTTTCATTGTTTTTATAATATGGAAGTTCAGCGAATTTTTGGCTAAACTATATCTCTTATAGAGGAACCTCTTCAAATAAAAATTCCAATTTAAATTTAAAAAAAGTTTAACCCCATCCTTTGCCTAGGCACCCAAGAATTTGTTTCTTTCATTTAACATCATGAACGTCATTTGAACATTTGCATGCGTTTTTGAAGAACCTCATGAGCCAGAATCATGTTACATCTGTTTTCAAATATAAGACCGTCTATTGATATGTGCGAATGGTGCAATGAACATAGTTTCAAAATCTATGGATCATTTATTTTAAATAATTAAAAATATTGATAATATATAATTATTAAAAGTAATTATTAATAATGATGAAGAGTCTGTTTTATTATCATTAACTCACCTCTATTATTATCTATATAGATTTAAGAGATTTATTTTTAAAAAATAAAATCAAATATATTATATTATAACCATTATCATTTGTATAATTATTAAATTAAGCGTATTTATACCATTTTTAAATGTTTTTTAAAATAATAAAAATTTGATTCTTTATTTTCTTTTAAGATTATTATATAAAGTTGGGCTGGGCGTTTCGGTTCGGTTCTTCGGAACCAGACCGAACCGTTAAAACGGTATTTTTCCCGACCCGAAACCGCTGTTATTTTCCGAACGGTACTATTTTTAGAGAACCGAATTTTCTCGGAACCGAACCGAACCGAATTTTAAAAATCCCGAAAAACCGAATATTTTTAAAGGAAATCTATCATTTTTTTAATAAAACTCGGAACCAAACCGAACCGATGCCGAAAACGAACCGAATCGAATACAATAAAAAACCCAATCGGTACCTATTTTTGTAAAACCGAAAGAATCGAACCGATCCATTCTGTCCCGAACCCGAACCGATCCATTCTGTCCCGAACCCGAACCGTTTCCCGAAACGCCCACCCCTATAAAGTAATTGATCAAAATGTTGCAATACATAAGGGCCCCGAAATTTGTGGGACGATCCTTCCAAGAACACAATGATTTCTCCCGATGGTGACGGAAGCCAGAAGCCAAGAATCCCACCGGAAACTAAAATTAGTAAAATGCCTCACTTTTGTTTGGGTGCAAGGGCGGTTAGTAGCACATTCACTCACTCACTGAGATTAGGTATAATTATTTAAATTAGTTCATAAATATTAACTTTATGAGTACATGTATACCATTATGCCATCAATCATAACATTTCTTTTTTAGATCCTCCCGGTTCTTGGGCGTATATTATTAGCGTAGAAAAACCGTTTTCGGAGCTCCGAAACCATTCTTGTCGGAACGTTTTCGTTTCTGAGTTTAAACACAAAGATTCTTTACTGTGAATAACACGAGAATTTTCCATTCATATGCCCTAATTTTGGAAATATTGTTATTCCAAATAAAAAAAACGAGATACCGTGTTTTTTTTTGTATACTCTCTCTCACTAGAATCATAAAATACTCAACAATGCCAAGAATTTAGCAGAGGAGGAGGATCCATCAAAAATGGCAAACGTAAAACAAATTAATTAACCTACTTTTAACCATCGAGAAATGAACGGTTGAAACCTCCATCGCTCAAATTTGCACCTTGTTTTTCTCCCCTCTTCTTCTTTATTTCCTGCCATTGAAGCTCACCAGAAAACCCTCTTTCCTTTGTGTGTATATATACCACAAAACCCGAACATGAAAAAACCTTCTTCGCGTCTTTTTCTTCCTCCCGGGGAAGAAAGAATAGTTTTTTTTCTCTCTTTCCTTCTTTCTCACAAAGAGAGATTCGGGGTTCTAAACCCTACAATCTCTCTCGATCCATCCTTCACTTTTCTGCGGTCGGCCGGTGTGTTTGGGTCGGTCAATCTCAGCAGCAGAAGAGGAATAAGACGACGGAGGAAAAGATCTAGAGTCGAAGAGAGGGAACGTATCTAATCAGCTTGGCCTAATTATCCGTAGTTTGCCTCAGGTAAGTACAATGGCTTTAACTTTTGCCACACGGCAACCAAGCATGTAGCCCTAGCTTCTACCGCAAGGCATCTTCTTTTTTTTTTTTTGCGTAAAGTTTGCGACGAAATCTTTGTTTCAAGGTTAACTTGCGCAGATTTTGAACTCCTGTTCAAAAGACATGATTTTGAAACATGAAATATTAAACTTCTGGTATTTTCTATGTTTAAAGGATTTGGTTTTGATACGTCTTTGAGAGTACAAAACCCTAGATAGTACCCTTTTTTTTGTTATATGATCTTCGAATTAGGGCATGGTTATACCCTACAAGAAATAAACCTATGATTCTCTAACCCTTCTCCGTTACTTTGTCTCTTGAATCTTTCACACCGTTGTTTCATTAGTTCCAAACATTCTTAACCAAACTAATATTAATTATTTTATAATCATGTAGATAGAAAACTAACCCCGAAACAATAATAAAAAAAAGAGATGGTGATGGTGGGCGAAGCCCTAAGCCTGTCAACCTCCTCGTCCTCATCATTATACGAATCAGAAGCGGACGAGCTCGAGAATATGCCGTTGGATCCGCCGAGGCTTCAGGCGAAGAAACGCCTCTCCAAACAGCTCTCCATGTGCGAGACGAGACGGGACATCGCCTGGGAGCGGCGCCGCCGCCAGATGATGCTCGTCCCCGAACGCAGACGCAGCGGCAGCGGTGGGGACGCGGATCACGGCGACTTGACGGACGAGGATCTGAGAGAGCTCAAGGGCTCTATAGAATTAGGGTTTGGTTTCAACGAAGAAGAAGGGCAACGACTCACGAGCACTTTGCCTGCCCTGGATCTCTACTTCGCCGTGAACCGGCAAATCTCGCCGGTTTCCACTCCCGGAAGCGGAGGATCTTCGTCGTCGACTCTCGGTGACCGGTCGTCCTCCTTCGACAGCCCTAGGAGCGACTCCGACCCGTTAAGAATTCTTTCACCTGGTACGGCTCATTCGTTTGTGTACGTGTCGGATACATTTATGCTGCGGCTTTGGTTTAGAGCAGTTGAAGTAATCTAAAGAGTTTTTAGAGAATCGGGTATTATTGAGTTAAACAGTTGAGTTTATGGATCTAATGCAGTTATAGAATTTAGAAATTTGAATGTATTTAGGTTATAGATATTTGAATTGGGTAAATTGGATGCAATTACTGTGTATTAACTTTATAGTAATTGATTTTTTTACGTGGTGATTGTGATTTAGGGGACAATCCTCAACAGGTGAAAACAAGGCTGAGGCATTGGGCACAAGCCGTTGCATGTTCTGTCATGCAATCCTTCTGAGAATTACGGACAAAAACATGAGTAAGTGTGGGATTATGATGTGATGGATCTGTACAGTGAGAGAGGCAGAGAAGTGTTTGTTTTTTTTTACACACAACGGAATAATGTCCTTAGAGATTTGAAGAGAGAGAGAGAGAGAGAGAGAGAGTTAAAGGGGCGACCAGATGTATAATCGCGTTTGCGATCAACCGCTCTCATCGGCGTTTGCGATGTGATCGGGAACCGTCTCTAGGAAAGGGGAACTAAGAGGAGAGGTTGAAAAAGAGAGACACTCGTCAAAGTTTGGGGACCAAAATGCAAAATTGAAAAATGAAGAGGGGTTATTCTGAAAATTTTAATTTTATTTTGGCAACAGGGAAGGAATAGCCGCCATTCGTGTCTTTTTTTTTTCTACTTGTTTGATTGTTTTCCCTTTCTTTTTTTCCTGGTGTAATTTTTGCCCCTTTAATGATTCTTGGAGAGAAAAATTTGAGACTAAGGCAGATTTTGTTGTTGTTGTAAATAATGACTCTCATCCAACTTACTTTTTGCATTCTGAGGCAAAACAAGCATTTTTAATTCCTGACTTTTTTATATTTATGTTAGAAAGATGAATAAAAATCCAATTTCGCATTTTCACTAAAAAATGCAATTAACGACGGATATTTCCGTCACAAATATTAGCTATAGAATTGAGAAAAAATATAATCAAAATCGTTTAGATCCCAAATACGTTATATATCGATTGCTATAGAATATGACCGAGAATTATTTATTCATTTGTCGAATATATTTACGATTCATCTAATCGGAGTTGTTTGAGATGTTCTTATCCCAAATTCTATGTTTGAGTGATCGTTGGGGAAGAAGTATGCAATTTAATTACGGTATAAAGATTAATTCCGAATTTTGGAAAATGTAATTGAGTCGAAGATGAATGAATTTTCTTTATCAGATATATATATGATTTAATTTTCTATGGTAGATATTTAGTAAATTACGAGCGGATATAATAACACTCATATCGACGATTCTGTCGTTAAAAGGCTATAAAGAAAGGAAATGACTAGAAAAAGTTGGTCAAAGGCTTGGGGCGCTGACTTTTCTGAAGGTGTGCATCTTTTTTTTTTTTCACAACACCTAATTACCACTTTGCATCAATAAATATTATATGAATAATTTAATATTAAAGGGCACTACTACACTTTATTTTACTTTAATTTTATATAGTTCAAATAACACATGCTTTTAAGGGCAAAATAAAATAGTTTATAATTTTTCCGGTTGCTATTAGGGATTTACGTTTTTCTACCTAACCTCTAGAATTTGAAGTTTTTTTTGATGTTTTGACCAAATTATTATTGCATTTAAATACTGAAAAACGTCCGGTATTTCAATTTTGTATGAATATTTCGGATAATATTTATGTAATAAAAAATACACTAAAAAGGCTTGTACATATTCTACATTTAAAATTAGTATATACTTACAATTAAGAAACTTTTTTTTTTTAAAATTAGCAGTTCATAAGAACCTTATCAACCAAAATGATCTCCACTCAAACAAAACTACGTGTATATATATATATATATATATTCTCACAAACAGCCTACAATATCTAACCGCAATCACATTCAATAGCAAAAGCTCAATAATAACAACAATACAAAGACGACAATATATTTATCATACAACCTTGATAATATACAATTTCGCATCAATTCTCAAACCAAACTAAGCAGTCATTTCAGCCGTAGAACACAAAAGAAACCAAACAAGAAGTGAGCAGTTGTGTTTCTCCCCAAACACTTTCAGATCAATCCATCTGCAAAAAAAAAAAAAAAAAAAAAAAGCCCCACAAAAATTATGGAAACTTTTAGATCTTGTTCTTGTTTTTGTTTTTTTCCCCTCTCTTTTTCATTTTCTTTTGGGGCACTTCAGATCTTGTTCTTGCCACCCTTTCTTGCTTCTTAGTCTCCATGTCAGTCAAAACAGTCTAAGCCTTGCATGATTCCCTTTCATCACAGAACAGCAACACCAGAAGAAGCGGTCCCATTCATCTCACCTGTCTCTCCCATGATCTTCTGGCCTGTTTCATCGCCTGTCCGAGCTGTCACTGTCTCTGCTGCTGTGAGTTTCTCAGGAGCAGACTTTGGAGAGCCCTTCACAGATTTTCCCCGGCGATTCCCGCTGGTCTTGGAAGTCCTCGGGCTGTTGTTGCTCACCCGAGCCATGAATCTCGGGCTGTTGGTGGCTCGGGAATCTTCCTTGCAGCCATCCACACTGTGGCGGTGTCGAGCACAATGCTTCCCCTTCTCCCCTTGACACTGTGAGTTAACTGCGTCACTGCAGCTCTTTCTCCGGTTCAGGTTCGGCGACTTGGGTCGAGTCAGTGGCAACTATGCAAATGAAGATACAGATTGTTAATGAATATACATTATTCAAACAGGGAAAAGAATCTATGACGACGTAGAAATACCATCAACTATGTACACAGCTAATGTTTCTGTATACGTTTCACTGCAATGGAAACACTTCACCGAAGAAGAATAGAATGGTGCATTATTCTTCACAATGATTTCATGGCTCTGTCACTTGAGGTCATGAAACGGAAATTTACAAGTTTTAGAAACCCCTTATTAAGTAAACATGAGACTAGAACACGAGTAAGGTGTTGGAACATAAACTTGTTCCTAATATTTTGTGCTCTAGAAAAATGTGTTCAAAGAGTTTAGAATTTTGTGTTCAAATAATTAAGTACTTAGACTATATTTATTAGTAGTTCTAGAATGATCTATGGTGTAGTATATATATGGGTTGTTTGAAGTTTGTAGTACAACAACAACAAAAACACAAGAAAAGAAATACAAAGGAGTATTTTGAGTATTTCTCCTCCTCTCTTCTTGTTCATATATATTTATAAAGTATAAAGAAAAAGCCTAAGAGCTTACAAGTGGTATCAGAGCCGGGATATCATGGCGTCGACGAGTTCGATCCAATCGCAAGTTCCGCAACTTACGAAAGACAACTATCGTAGGTGGAGTATCCAAATGGAGGCTCTTCTCGGATCCCATGATGTATGGGACATGGTGGAGAACGGTTATGTCGAATCGGAGACAGTACCGGAGAATGAAGAGGAGAAACACAAAGATCTAGAAAAGAGAGAGAAGAAGGCGTTGTTCACAATATATCAAGGAGTCGATGAAGTAACGTTCGAGCTTATTGCCTCGGCGACGACGTCCAAAGAGGCGTGGGAAATTTTAAAGAAATCTTATGAAGGAGTCGATAAGGTGAAGAAGATTCGGTTGCAATCTTTACGATCGCAATTCGAAAGTCTACAACAAGGGAATTCCGAGTCGATCTCGGATTACATTTCACGGGTAATCACCATTGTTCATCAAATGGCAACAAATGGCGAGACGTTGAAGGATGTTCGGGTCGTGGAGAAAATTTTGAGGTCCCTTGACTCAAAATTTGATTCCGTGGCAGTTGTGATTGAAGAATCTAAAGACTTAGATTCAATGACGGTGAAAGAACTTCTTGGTTCTTTGAAGACGTTTGAAGACAGACTCAATCGGAGAAAAGGAGAAGAAAAATCTGTTGAGCATGCGCTAGAAGCAAAGCTCTCTTTGAAGACCGAAAAATCGAGAGGAGGTTATCAAAACCGAAGAGGAAGAGGTGAAAATTACGGACAGGAGGTTATGGACCAAACCATCGGGTGCCGACCAACAATCGTAATGATGATGGAGAAAATACAACTGATCACTATGGCCGTGGCGAAAGAGGTGGTCGAGGTCAAAATTGGAACCGAGGTCGTGGTCGTGGATTTGGAAGAAATAATGGAGGAAGGTATGATAAATCTTGGATTCAATGTCATACTTGCAAGAAATTTGGACATTATTCCTATGAATGTTGGCATAATCCTGACAATGATGGTGGAGAGAAAGTCAATATCGTCGATAAAGAAGATCATGATGCAGAAGAAGTGTTGATGTTGTCACAAAATGAGGTCGAGCCAAGCGGTGTGTCAGAACCATTTGTTACATGGTATCTTGACACGGAAGCATCCAACCATATGTGCGGGAGAAAGGAGTTGTTCACGAAACTGATCGAAAAGAACTTTGGCAATATCACCTTTGGTGATCTTTCAAAGAGACCAATTCAAGGGAAAGGGGAAGTCACACTGACCTTCCCGAACAAGAGACAGGTTTGCATCTCGAATGTCTATTATGTTCCCGATATTAAAAGCAATTTGTTGAGTGTGGGCCAGTTGTTGGAGAAAGGTTTTGATGTAAGGTTGAAGAATATGTCTCTAACCATGCGAGACAAAAATGGCCAAATGATCACAACCGTGGAGATGACGAAGAATCGAATGTTTCCATTGAGACTGAGCTTTAATGAGTCGAGGTGTTTGAAGGTAACGACTCTAGATAATTCAACTTTGTGGCATCTTCGATATGGGCATCTAAATTTCAAGGCATTAGAATTACTTCAGAAGAAGGATATGGTGATTGGGTTACCCAAGATTGCAGCTCCTAACAATCTGTGTGAAGTTTGTGTTATGGGAAAGCAGCAGAGGAAGTCGTTTCCGACATACTAGTCATGGAGCGCGACATGTCCCCTTGAGCTGGTGCATTCGGATGTTTGTGGACCCATCAATCCCACATCGAATGGAGGTAATCGATATTTCCTGACATTTACTGATGATTACAGTGCAAAGACATGGATTTATATGCTCAAGGAGAAAAGGGAAGTTTTTACCAAATTCAAAGAGTTCAAGAGTATGGTGGAAAAACAAAGTGGATGCCCAATCAAGTACTTGCGGACTGACCGTGGAGGAGAGTATATATCAAATGAGTTTGAGAATTTTTGCAAGGAACACGGGATTTCTCATCAGCTTACCATGCCTCAAACACCACAGCAGAACGGAGTTTCGGAGAGGAAGAACAAGACTATACTGAATATGGTCCGATGTATGCTTAATGAGAGAAAAGTCCCTAAGGAGTTTTGGGGAGATGCTGTTGCATGTGCTGTTTATTTGTTGAACAGATTTCCATTGAAGAAAATCAAAGACATGACACCGGAGGAAGCTTGGAGCTTACGAAAACCGAAAGTTGATCATCTCAGAATCTTCGGGTGTGTGGCATATGCAAAAGTGCAGGAAGAAAGGCGAACAAAGCTTGAGGATAAAGGTCAGAAATGCATATTTTTGGGTTATGGTGAAAATTGCAGGGGATACAAGTTGTATAATCCCGAAACTCGGAAAATCATAATGTCTCGAGATGTTGAGTTTGATGAGGAGAAGAGTTGGGATTGGAATGGTAGCAATCAATTGCAGAGGATCATTCTCAAAGAAGTTGAGGAGAATTCACCATCCCGAGTTATCCAGAACCGTTTTGATAATGGCGATTCTAGTAGCTCACCCGTGAGAAAGATGAAGAGCATTCAGGAGATTTATGATACAACTCAACCGATAGAATCCATGTTTGATGATGAGTTTACTATTTTTTGTCTATCTGCTGGATTCAAAGGAGTTAACAGGAAGAAGAAGTGGATCAAAGTGAAAGATAAGTTGAAACCCTTTCGGAAGAAGCTCGGAGTCAAAGCTAAAGGATGAACAAGTTTAAGGGGGAGTTCTGTTGGAACATAAACTTGTTCCTAATATTTTGTGCTCTAGAAAAATGTGTTCAAAGAGTTTAGAATTTTGTGTTCAAATAATTAAGTACTTAGACTATATTTATTAGTAGTTCTAGAATGATCTATGGTGTAGTATATATATGGGTTGTTTGAAGTTTGTAGTACAACAACAACAAAAACACAAGAAAAGAAATACAAAGGAGTATTTTGAGTATTTCTCCTCCTCTCTTCTTGTTCATATATATTTATAAAGTATAAAGAAAAAGCCTAAGAGCTTACATAAGGTATCACTGCTTTCAACAGAGACAAAGGCAATCCAATTTATGAAAACGGCGATTTTTTTAACTATAAAAGCGCGAGAGAAGTTATTCACAAATATAAAGAGAGACAACACCAAAATCTAAAAATTTCAAGAAAGAATGAGGCATGTGGGTTAGTTTAGCGTCGGTGAGGGGAAGATGACATCTCATTTAATGAAGGAAAAGGAATCCGGCCTTCATGTGAATGTTGCATCAAGTCACTGAATTCAACATTTTTGTCATTTCTGGACAAGCAAGAAGTTTCTTAAAAGTGGGACAGATAAAAGGAAGCAGTGAAGACACAGTTGTTTTTGTTGTTGTACCTTCTTTGATTCGACTTTTGGGGGAGGGCCCTCATAGTAGAAACTCGGTACCGGGTTAGCTTTGTAAGCCATGCCCTTTCGGAGCTGCTTAATTGCTGCTTCTTGTTCTTCCTAAACAAGGAGCGCAAGACATTTCATTCATTATTATTCCCCCACAAAATGAGCAAGAACAAGATTATCATGCATAATATCTAACATGTGACTAATGCTTCTTGCTCTTCATAAATTAAATACCATTCCACGAAAACCTGCAAGAACCGTATCGCTCTATGCCAGATGAAACACAATGCATAATCGGTAATTGCTGCTTTATGCTATTTTTCAACAAGATGGAGCACATTTTCTTTGTTATTTTATCCCAAGAAAATGTGTGAGAACGGAATTATCATGCACGTAAAAGCAATAACCAGACACAGATTAACATAGATACCTACTATACATATATATATATATGTGTGTGTGTATGCGTATGTGTATGTACCTTAAGTCTTTGCTCGTTCTCTTCTTTCTCTGCCTCGAGTGCTTTGTGTTTTTCCTCTAATTTTTGGTAAAACTGAAACTCAATCATATAGAGAATTAGCAAAGTGATGGAAAAACAGAACCAAAGCATGGAAATAAAATTGCCTCTCTAAAGTGATGGAGAAACATGGCACAAAGCATAGAGTTCTCTTAAAAAAAGTATCTCATAGTTACAGATTATGTACCTCTTTCCGTCTCTCCAACCGTGCAGTACTCCTAAATGTTGGAGCAACTCCAATCGTAATCTTGGGCTTAACCGTTTTCGTGGATGTAGCTGAGCTATATGTGTCGTTAAGGATCATCAAAGGCGTAAAATCATAGATAGTGATTCTCTACAACAAATTTGTGTATGTGAGCATCTAGTTTCATGGAGAGGATACGAGGAAGCAACGGACCAACTATCTTCTTCGTCGTGATGCTTTTTGGATCCTGTTGACTTCCTAGCCGTGATCGGAGAATTGGGCTAAAATCAAAAACACAAAAAGTGAAAACATTTATCAGTTCCATTTCACAATCACCCGAGAGAGAAGCTCGGTAATCGTCATGTGAGGAAGGTTCGCAAATCTGATCAAATCATGGTAAAGATCCACATGACATTGAAGATATTATCTAAAGAATAACCACTTCCAAATCTCGAAAAAAATATACGCAAGGCGGAGAGATGAAATAAATTATACAAAGTCATGAGCTTCATTACCTGTGAACCTCTTGATGCAGTGGGAGAGTTCGAGATGTTACAGTTTCCTGAAGAAGTGTTATCAACTCCTGCAGTATGTGGCACGGCAGAAGCTCGCTTTTCAGTTGCCAGAGCAAATGGCTTTGGTACAGTACGGTTCTTATCATCAGAAGATTTCTGGTATCCAGATTTATCGTTTCTTCCCTCAAGATTTGTTCTTTTAACACCAAGAACTTCATGCCTCTCATTGGCATCATTAGCCTCAGTATTGTTCTCCAATTTATTGGGAGAAACATGGATTTTATTTCCATCAGATGAACTATTCGAATGTGCTGCAAATTTGTTCGACTTCTTATCCATGTGTATGTCGATAGGCTCTCTCCCCATTACCTCTACACCAAGAAAGATGTCCACTGAGTAATGAAACAGAGATGACGAAAAAAAAGGGTACAGTCACCAGAAAATTTGTCTCATTCACACAGAAACAAGCACAATCCAAGAATACACCTTTCTCATGATCCTGTGTATGGTTAATAAAAGGTTACAGGGAATACAAGATACACCAACGTTCAAGAAATGAAGCTACCGGAAATGAAAACCCAGAAACAAAAAACAACAACAACAACAACGCCTTAAATGACAAGTTTATTTGGGGGCGGCCACATGAATTCTCTTCCTTCCTTTGTTTCGATTTTGGATAAAAACCCGGAAACAAAATCATATTTTTAACTTCCAACAAGAAGCCACAATGAAACAAAAACGTTAACAAGTCTGGAATCCGAACAAAACCACCAAGATTTCAAGACCAGCTGCCCCTTTGGATGGAACCCAATTTATCATGCAGCAGAAGAAGCTTCCTAATGCCTCATTTTGCTCTGTGTTTCAACTTTATTGTATAGTTTAGAACATGGGAAATCATCTAAAACTACAACGTAATAAGAACCCACAAAACACACCAAAACAGAAAAGGGATTGCAATTAAGCAGCCACAGGACATGATGAATTATGGCTGTTGGATTAATTGTAATCTTGAGTTATTTAAATGAGAGAAACCTTAATGCTTCGGTATTGTCGGAGCCAATGGATTTTAAATTATCAAGAACAAAAGCAGGAACCCAGAATATAACCAAGATCTAAAACAATGGCTATTTCATCGTAGAACATGAGAAGGGAACAACAACATCTTCCTAAACTGTTAGTTACAATTACCAAAATTCATACCAAACCAGCAACCAAGTTCCTGTTCCGAAAAATAGAGAAATAAGATAGAAACATCTGAAACTGAAACAGTTTTCTTCAAAGACGATAAGAGGTTTGAGAGAAGAATCAAATAAACAGAAAAGAACCTAGGAAATCGGAAGAACACCAACCCAGGAGATCAAAATGCAGACAACATTGTACAGATCGAACCACATTTCCGCACCTGTTTCCAAGACAAGAATTTCCAAATAGCAAAACAACAGCAACCCATGGACCAATTTTTATTTAAAAAAAACAAGAATGACAAAACGCTAAAAGGAAAAAAAAATCCAAGAGAGAAAGTCAAACGAATGTCAAGAAATTCTTACGATTCTTGCTCCGATCTGTCCCAAAATTCCTCTCTCTCTCTCTCTCTCTCTCTCTCTCTCTCTCTCTCTCTCTCTCTCTCTCTGTGTGTGGAACAGAACAAGCGTGAACACCCTCCCTCCCTCCAACTTCTCTCTCTAGAGATGCTTGGTATGGGGTTGGTGTATTTTTTTTTTAAGGGGGTTGGTGTATTTTCTCAGGAAACAAACATTTCTTTTTCTGTCGATGATTTTCCATTTATTTAGCTCGCTGTGACTTTGGAGAAGAAATAAAATAATTGAAAAAACCAATCACGTTTTCCGTTATTAAGAGGGCCACTGTTTATATCCATTTTCTGGAAGGTAAAGTCTTGACGGTGTTAGTTAACGGTAGAACTTTTTTACCAGACGCCGTCACCCTTCAGACACGGGACACATTTTGTTTTTGAATCTTTGAATTAGAGCCAAAAACGTTTTTGTCTGGTTTGAATGTTAGATGGCAAAAAAATATATCCTTCACGCGCAAAGCACTAAAAAGTAGAAAAAATTAATGAAATATATATAAAAAAAATTAAAACATTTTTGCAACATTTGTTTTGTTTTGTTTGCAAATACGTTATATCAAAAATACCATCCTTTTATTATTTTGATTTCAATACATAACTTTCTCCAACTATGACTTTATGATCTATATAATCAGAAATTTAGTTTGGTCACATGTTAATTTTATTTATTCTAATATTAAATTTATGATGATCACACTAATTCATTATATTCGTCACTTATATATCTCACTAATCATCTAATAAAAACATTATAAATTATACGTTATTACCAATTAGAACAACATGTGATATCACAATATTTCTGGTTATATGGATCATAGAGTCACAGTTGGAGAAAAATATATGTTAAAATCAAAATAGAAAAGAGAGAAAAATTTTCATAATGCACTGTACGTTTAGTTTTAAATTATCCAAAATACCATCATTTTTAAAATAAATAAAGCAACAACAACAACAACATCGTCCCGAGTTCATTTGGGGTCGGCCGCATGAATCCTTCTTCTCCACTCATTTCGATCTCGGGTTAACTGTTTCGGAGTCTGCAACACTTCCATATCGTTTCTAATGACACGTTCTTAAGTAAGTATAGGTCTACTTCTTCATTTTCTTCTCACCCCTATACCTATACTCTCCACTTTTCTAACCGGTACATCTATCGGTCTATGTTGTATATGTTCAAACCATCTTAAACACTTCTTTCGTGCCTTCTCTTCGATACCTATTATTGTATAGTAGCGAATGTTAGGCGACGAAAGAAAAACATATATCTACAATGAATGTGGTCGAGATGAGGAAATTTGCACAAATGTTCAGTTTTGGAGAGCCATTAGTAAACTTATATTTGATTATCACCAAAACAGAATATAAGTTACCAATTCACGTCATATTGAATATTATACATAACACAAAAAAAAATTTCTATATTTTATATCGAATGTAATCATGAAACATAAGGAAATTTGCAATGAATGTTCCAGTTTTTGATAGTAATTAATTACTAAGAACACCGTTAATTAATAGAATTGATATATATATATATATATATATATTTGTATATATCATTCTGGTTATCATTTATTTTGGATGTCATTATCACCGTGATGCTTTGATTTTGGCTTTTCTTGGACCGAGTTGTTCTTTTTGACTCTCTCTATATGGACGGCGTCAACTGACGGCGTCAGCATTATCAAGTGGCCGTAACTGTCGGAGATTGCTTCCTCGGTACGGGATAATCTTTTTAAATGACGAAACTGCCCTCCACTTTGTCTTCCTCGGTACGGGATAATAAATGACTAACACGATATATAAATACTTAAATGCACAAACACACGCTGGTAATTAATTATGTACTTACAAACTCGAAAAAAATCTTTATTTTATAAAAATATTCAGAAAATTTTAATTTTATTTACTAAATTATATGTTTAGACTTTTAAATAAAAAATATTTTTATGTAAATAAGGAACCAATTAAAGAGAGAAAAATACATATTTAAATACCTAGAAGAGATAAGGATTTAATTAGATTTGTGTGAAATTACAAATTTGTGCCCTTCGGGGCCAGGTCAGGTGGTAAGGGAGTAGGGTGTATCACCTTGAGGTAGAGGGTTCGAATCCTCTCATCGCTCTTCCTTGCGTTTGACCTGCTCGCTTGTCAGCCCATCATAATGGGCTGATTTACCTCTTCCGCGTGTGTTGCAGGCTCGTACGCGTGGGCGTGGAGTTTGACCTGCAGGCGCCTAAGCCCAACTACGGCCCGAGTGTTAGGCGCGCCTGGTGGCCAGGTCTGGCGGACTGAGGTCCATGGGGACTGTTAGGCGCGGGTGGTGGCCAGTGCGTCTCCGTTTGTAAGGGTAGGTAGTCACAGAGGTTACCCTCTTTAAAAAAAAAATTACAAATTTGAATAAAGTACTTTTAGAAATTTAAATTTAGTTTTGGGTGTTTTCATATAAAATATTGTTTCGTAAGAAACTTTCAGCACTAATACGATTACGAATGACACTGTATAGTGGACTTTTATATTCAGCTTTTATAAGTTATGTATATTCATATATATATATATATATATATATATACATAATATACCGAACACATTCATAAAGCTTGCAACTTTCCACGCCTTTGATAATATAATGTTGATAACCTAAATAAGAATATATTTATATGTATATCGAAACGAAGGTTCTATTTATAACTACCACCCACAATACTCAAATATTTTGGCCAAATATTCCATATGACCCCCAAATAAAAAAAATAACGAAGAAATAATTTTTTTTATAAAATCTAAAATATTAAATATAAAAGTAATTAAATCAAAATATAGTTAAATAGCGTATGTGGGTGGTCAATTCTAATTATAATGTTCATTATCAACAAATAAAACAAAAACAAATAACAAAAAAAATATGATGACAAGGATCAAAATGATGTATACTTTCGATTAACCGTTATACCTAACGACTGACAAAATTAAAATTGTTTAAACTTTAAGCATTTTTACTTTATTTTATAATTTTTAAAATTGTTTATATATATATTTTTACATTTGCACTGCATCTTCTTCTTTTTTTATGCCAAAAGAATGCATCTCACGTCTCGTGGCTAGGGGTGGACATTTCGGAATTCGGTTCAGAATTTTAACGGTTCGGTTTGGAAATAATTTATTCGGTATTATAAAATTTGCACCAAATTAGTACCGCATATTATTCGGTTCGGTATTATGATAGTTCGGGACGGTATGGTACTAATAAATAAGTACCAAATAAGAATCGAAATAAAAATGGTTCGAAACGGTTCGGGACGGTTCATGACATATTTATAATTCATATAATATAAAAGAAAAGAGATCCAACATAATAATTTTATACAACAAAATAAAAGTTTTGAACTTGTAAATTTGAAAAAAATTCAACATTAATCTCAATGCATTACGCAAACAAACTCTTAATATTAGTAAATATCATAATTAACTATTAATATTAAATATTTTTTAATTAAAAAATAAAATACCAAAATACCGTTCGGTATTTTCCAAACCGAATCGAACCATTCCCGAACCGTTCGGTATTTCAAATTTCGTACGTTCGGTATTTTTATATAATACCGAACCGAACCGAAACCGAATTAATCGGTTCGGTACGGTTCAGGACTAGATTCCCGAACCGAATTGCCCACCCCTACTCGTGGTGATGAAAATTTCTGTTTATATGTTTCAAATGGTAATTATTTCTCGAAAAGAGTGATTAATTTGGTGAGATGATGTCTTAAAACAACTATGTAGAAGATATTATATTCGTTATTTTTTTTTTTGATAACCAGGATAGTTTCTGGACTTTCGGTCCGACTACATCCACCCTAGATGCAGGATCAGTCTTTGTATATGTACCATTTTTGGTCCAGAAATTACATCCCTCTCCACCAGTGGAATCGAACCCAAGACCTTGAGGATAGCTTTGTCACTTCTCAACCATTGGACCACCAACTGTTGGGTATATTCGTTATTATTTAATTTTGTTTCACGGCTAAATCCTTTATAGGATTTTGGCAACTTTCATCATTGAAATTTTAATTCCATAATTTCATCTAAAATTTCTATCTTTGATTATAAATATGTATATATATTCGTATTATTTTCCTAAAAGGGAACATATGAGACCATTATGAATAGAAGTTGGTGCGAGCGCTTGCAAAGGATCGTCCGCGCCTAAATTGGGCCTTGCTGGGCCACGGCCCATCACAGAAATATTTTGGGCATAGGTTCACGACCGGCCCATCGGGCCTTTGGCCCATTTCTGAAATTGCCTTGAAAAGGCATTTTCCGGAAAAGTTTTCGTGTTTTTGCTTTCTCACACTTCTTCCTCCTTCCTCGTGAAGTTCTTTGTAATTTTTTGGTGTTTTATTTTCGTTTTTTCCCTTTATGAAAATCCCTTCCATTTTCACTCAGTTTTCTTTGAGAACTTAAGCAGATGGTTTTATTTTTTTTTAAACCGAAACTTGGAAAGACTAGTGGTAAGAGAACATGCAAAACATATTCTTATCCTATATTCAAATCCAAGCGTGAGGAGGATCATTCACCCGGACTTCTTCGGTCCTCTTGAAGATTTAGTTGGATTAAATGTCTGGTAAACTTCCGGCTTATAAAAATAAACCTTGAACAGATGGTTCGATTTTCTCCATTTTTTATTATTAAATTGACTTACACATATAGTGATAAACCCTATTATAACAGCGTGTATCTGTTGATATGTGACTCAAGGTTTACAAGAGATGTTTTGTCCTACGTTGCTGTAATGTGTCATGGCTGTTTTCTGCAGTTATGTCGTGATTTAAAAACTGTAGTTTGTAGTGTAGATTTACATAGTTTATATGTTTAGAGAAGTTGAAGATCGTAAGATGAAGAAGATGAATTGAAATATTTTCCTTTATGCTCACATACTTAAAAAATATGCACTACATTTATATGTATTTTGTAGTCAATAATAAGTACAAATAAAATAAAATAATATGGCAAATGCATATCATTACAACGACACAATATATATATGGTAAGAAATGGTAATTGCCTCTTTGATTGCTTATAATATTTGAATACTTCAACCAGATCTCCACACCATGAGCCTCCATCTCATTGACTAGCTCTCTAATTCGGTTAATATAGTTTCTAAAAGATTCACTTTCATTTTGTTGTATTGCATAAAACTG